GTCACAGCTCACAGCAACCTCAAACTCTTGGGCTTAAGCAATTCTCTTGCCTTAGCCTCCCAAGTAGCTGGAACTATAGGCACCTGCCACAACACCTCTTTTCTTGTAGCTGTCATTGTTGTTTAGCTGGCCCGGGCTGGGCTCAAACCTGCCAGCCTTGGTGCATGTGGCTGGCACCATAAGCACTGTGCTACTGTCGCAGAGCCAACATCTGTTTTATTTTTATTTATTTATTTGTTTATTTGTTTGTTTATTTTTGAGACAGAGTCTCACTCTGTTGCCTGGGCTAGAGTGCTATGGCCTCAGGCTAGCTCACAGCAATCTCAAACTCCTGGGCTCGAGCTATCCTCCTGCCTCAGCCTCCCAAGTAACTAGCTCTATAGGTGCCCACCACAATACCTGGCTAATTTTCCTTTAAAAAATTTTTTTTTTTAGTAGAGATGGGATCTTGGTTTTCTCAGGCTAGTCTCAAACTCCTGAGTTCAAGTGATCCTCCTCCCACCTGGGTCTCCCAGAGTACTAGGATTGCTGGCGTGAGCTACCATGCCTGGCCTAAACGTCTCTTTTAAAGAATGTTGAATATTCTAGATACACAATTTTTTAATTTAGAAAAGGTTTTATATATATATATATGTATATATGTGTATATATGTACATATATAAGGAACAATATTGAAAGAAAGGGGTTCCAAGAGAATTCTGGTTAGAAAGTATCAAAACAATCATATTCTTTACCAAAGATAGATGGCTGTAATAAAAAAAACCTAAAACAATCATATTCTCGGGTAATTTTAAATGTAGATTAGTACAACTTAGTTTTTCAATTACAGTAATATCGTCAGGTACATTTTTTTTTAGGTACATTTCTTTATGCACCAAATTCTATTAATATTTTAAAAATAAAACTGAATTAATATTTTTGCAAAAATGGGATTTAAGGGTGGCGCCTGTGGCTCAAAGGAGTAGGGCACTGGCCCCATATGCCGGAGGTGGCAGGTTCAAACCCAGCCCTGGCCAAAAACTGCAACGAAAAAAAAAAAATGAGATTTAACATTTACTTTCAGTAGACTGATAAGACTCTTTCTTCTCTGATAGCCAAATGACCAATAATTTCACCTTTGCGGGAATTGAATTGCTCATTTAGTATCTTTGAGGGAAGAATCAAGAAAGCTAAAATCTACAGCACAGCCTCCCAAAAAGTTCTCCATAGGCTCTCTTTTGCATTGCCGGTGGGAGGTTAATGTTGGTCTATATATGTATTATGTTCTGGCTATTTGTGGCATGCTATCTGTATTGTTTGTTAATTGTCATAAGCCTTAAATATTGATTGTATTTTTGATTTGAAATAATAACTCTTTGCTGCCTTTTATGAATATATTATTTTTATAACTTATTTTGTTTTGCTATCTTGTGATTCTTAACACAAATATTGTAATTATGTGTCTCTCTTTTGGTTTGCTTGACTGGAATTCCCTTCTGCTTGGATGACCACAGGTGACCCTAGTATCTTCTGTAGTCTGCCCTTGGGCTTTTTTATAGTGAGTAGCATGGTAATGTTAATCGGAGCAAGGTACATCTCAGGTCAGTTACTCTTTAAATTAGACAATTTTATTAGTTAGCATTAATGTATTTGTGTATAACTCAGCAGAAAGTGTTCAGTAGTTTTCATTCCTTCTATGTTTAGGAACCTGGAAAATCAATTAAAGGTCTAATTAGTTAGGCCAATCTTTGGGGGTGGTTAGAATTAAGAACTATGACTCTGCTTAACCTTTCTGTATTTTTAATGGGTGATGATTTCTTTGAGGGGCTACATTCTGCTGTAAGCTGCAGAAATAAGCAAAAGTGAAACTACTAATGTTAAAATGAAAGGACTTTCAGAATGAGTGATGAAAGTTCAAGTGTAATTTTGACATCAATTAAACTGTCTTTCAAATGTATATAAATTGTTTTTCACACACTTGAAAATTTGCTGAGCAAGTCTTAATATAATAGAACCTCCATAGTTGACCACTTCCCTACACTGACCATCTCCATATGTTGACCAGTGAGTTACAGTCCCTTGGGTGGTCAACTTACAGAGGTTCTACTGTATTTCAATTCTGGCAAGAGTTTTGAGCCAGAGGATGTAAGCAGAGTTCCTGTAAAATTCTAAAACTGGGGACTATTTATAGTTACTTTTATTTTAGTTAAAAGAATATATTTTGTGAACTAAAGTTCTTTAAATTATGACTTAAATAAATATTGGGGTTGAAACTGAATTGTTATTTTTGAACATTAACTTCCACTAAATATTCTTATGAAAGTAAAATGGTTCAGCATGTTATGACATACATTATATAATCTGTTAATTTAAATATAATAGCCATTTTTAGGATCTAATCTTATGATACTCAGTTTTTTTTTTCAAATTACTGGCTTAAAATGGAAATGACTTATTTCATATGTTTTTATGAAAATGAAGCTTTGTAAGACAGTCTTCATGATTAAGGAAAGAGTTAAGTCATCTCCCTTAATTAATATGATGATGACCTGAGTTAAATGTACAATTTAAACTTTATTGGGGGGTAGCTTTAAAATTTAAACTTTTATGTTGGGAGAACATCTATGCATAGAAATCTGACAAGCATTTATTCAGCTTGGCATTTTCAACTTAGTGTTATTTATAATATGGAATGAAAATTATTTATGTCATCACAACATTAAATTATCTTTTAATTAATAAGAAAATCGGAATTACTTGTATGAGAATTTAAAATTAGATCATATTACCTTTCTATGTATTTTTCATGTTCAAGAATATTCAGAAAAAAATTTGTTCAGATCTACTGCTTCTGTACTAACAATGCCTTATTTTGGCATAAGTAACAGAAGAGAAAACTATGGAATACCCCAGTAAATAATGTTTTCAAACATAAGCACTAATCCAAGTTATTTTACCTTTGGAGTTACTTTACAAAAAGCCTCTGTATGCATAAAACTATACAGAATCTATTCTCTTTCTGCTTCTTAGGAATGTTTGGTGGAAGACTCTGAACATTTCCGTGAGCACTGTAATTTAAATTTATAAAGAAACATGTATGCTGTTTGAGAAAAAAAAATTATTACTTTTCATTATCCCTAGTACTTTAAGCTGCATAATGATATTCTGAGAAATTAAGGCAAAAATCATTGGAGCCAAAATGTTTTACTGATTTCTTTTTTTTTCTTTTTTTCCTTTCCTACTTTGGTACCATGATGGTATGAAAAGGTCTAGTCCCTGTGAAAATGGAGACAATTAGCATTAATGTAACCTAAAGGATACATTTAAGTGTCCCAATTCTTAGACTTCTAAAATGCATATAGTCACCATCTTTAAGTTGTCTTTTTGATGACATAAACTGAGATTTGACAAAAGTAGGAAACAGTTAACAACAGTGGTAATAATATTTGCTAATTTTGGAAATGGCCCAGTTGCACTTACTGCATTTTAACCATGAGGCATTATTTAGAAGTCATATGGCATTTCTAGCTCAATAAATGATTGAATAGTCTTCATTGCTTTAACTCCTGAATTGCTTGTATGTATTATTGACATATGATTTTTGTCCCCATTTTAGGTGTTCCATAGATGATACCAACTCATGGATCCCCAAGATGGAGTTTTTTACATAATGAGAAAACCCAGCAATTCTGTCTCTTAATGTGATGACACTATTCATAGACTCTGATTTTATTTATAAGCCACTTGCTGCATGACCCTCCAAGTAGACCTGTGGCTTGAAATAAAGACAATGCAGCAGAAAGAATGCTTTAGAAACATTTGGTGTGTTTTTTAACATAGACAGTTAAGGTTGGGCTAGCCACTTTGGTTGGGGGCTGGTCCCCTCCATTACCATAACATCCTGCCCCATTCCCTCTGAGATCTAGGAAGAACTCAGATCCTATCCACTGGACTCTTTCATCAGACATATATTCAAATGCTACTGGTCTAGGATATGATTCTCTGCGCTACACGCACTTAAGGGGTTACTACCAACCTATTAGAAATAAAGGGCTTTTTGTTTGTCGGTAAACAGACTCCCAAAAGTTTTTTCTACCTATTAGAAGCTCACATCTTCATTAAATGTTTAAATAAAAACCTCTATTAGGTTATTAAAATGGAAATTTAGTATTCTCATAGATTGAATATTTTTCTGAAAAATATTTGCCAAAACAAATTCTTCACCCAATATACATGGTCTCACTATAATGACTTTCTATCAGAATCTTATAGGAAAGGACACTTATTTGTTTGTTTCCATCCCTCTTTTTTATATTTTTTACTTTGTATAACATACATGCCTATATATTTTGTATACTGAAGTTAGCCCATTTACAAAGTAAGAGTACGTTATATTCAATAGATTACAACAGGGCTAGTCTTAGACTACTAAGTATATAAATATTTTGGAGAAAGCAGCTATATACATTTGGGGGCAACGGTTATGCATATAATATACCAGGAGAAATTTTTTCTTAAAGAGCCAACATTTAAAATTTAAGTATATAATGTTAATAAAAGAAAATGAACTTTATTGTGACTTCAACTATATTCCTTATATCGTATATTTTTATTTAATTGTCAAAAGAGAGGGAAAAAACTGTAGAATACTATGGTAAATATTGTTTTCAAACATAAGCAGTAGTCCCAATAAAGTTATTTGTCCTTCACATTAATTTTAGACATATTTGAGATCCTTTTGAGGAGATGAGAGAATGTCAAATAAGTAAAAAACCTAAGCCGAAAAAAATTTAGGAATGAATCCAAGAATCTCTTTTAATTCAAATGTTATCAATCATTAATTAACAAGAAATTGCTGAGATGACAGGATTATCTTAGCTTAATATCACATTACAGCTGAAAAAAGTTTACCATTAGAAATGCCTTTCAATGAAACCAAGAATTTCTCAAAATATTTAATGTCACGTTATATGAAGTCACCTAATCTAACTTCCTAATGTCAGTTTTTGAAATATTTAAAAAATTAATTTACAGTAAACAACTAAGAAAAGAACTTCCTAGTTATTTTCTTGAATGAGTGCTGAATGGGAAAGTATTTCTATGTTAATATAAAAGATTTTGTTTTGTTTGGAATTAATGATAGCTGGATTTACTGTTCTGATTGTGCTGTTTCTAAATTATTGAGTCTGCTGGGTTTTATTGATGTAGCTGCCTCTTACGTGACATAAATATCATAGAAAGGTACTGTGAAATGATCAGTTTGTGGCAGGGTACTTTTAAACATAATTATGTTTCTACAAAGGTAGGTTGAGTTCATTGTAAATAATTGTGAAGATCACTGTTCAAATAATTTTAAGATTACACTGATTTTTCTATGAATTGCAAGATTTATAAATGTTTGAAATTGTACATGTTGATATTTAATGATAAATTTACTTAAAATAAATTGACCCCTCATTCTTACTTGCATTTCTCATTTACAGACTAGAACTTAGGTCAGAGTTAAGAAGGATGGTTCAGGAAACGTGACACTCAGCTGTTAGCACTTGATCAGGCACATTCTAAAGAATTAACCAACAGGCTCAGCACCTGTGGCTCAAGCGGCTAAGGTGTCAGCCACATACACCTGAGCTGGTGGGTTTGAATCCAGCCTGGGCCCGCCAAACAACAATGACGGCTACAACCAAAAAATAGCCGGGCGTTGTGGCAGATGCCTGTAGTCCCAGCTACTTGGGAGGCGGAGGCAGGAGGCTTGCTTGAGCCCAGGAGTTGGAGGTTGCTGTGAGCTGTGATGCCATGGCACTCTACCCAGGGTGACAGCTTGAGGCTCTGTCTCAAAAAAAAAAAGAATTAATCAACAGCTAAAAAAGTAGTTTCTGGAATGAAGAACACCTTAATCATTCTATTAGAACAGACTGCACTATCCCAACTCAACATTTCTGGGAAATACCTTGGCAAGGTCAACAGCCATTATCAATAGGGTCTTGCATGGCTAACCTTGACCTTCCACTGGTTCCATTCTGTGCTTTTGTTCATCTCTACCTGGGATAGTATATGGAGCCTTGAATACCATTGTTTTCTCAGCTCACAGGTAATACCTCAATCTTTTGTTCTCCAACTAATCAGTAAAGTAAGTAAAGCATCTTTGCTTCTGTAATGAATTTTTAGTGTGTTTCTTTTGAAGAGCCCAAAGCCCAATTCTTTGGGATATTTATGGAGTATTTTATATCATATGGGATTGAAGAATGATAGCTATTAGCATTGACAGTGGAGTAAATAATATTTGTCCTGTACTGTTTACTTTATAGTAAATAGAAATCCAAAAATTATTTTTGACTGTAACTCTTAATAGCTTATTTTAACTAATAATATTTAAATAATGAAATTTACTTGGTTCTTTGCTCTTGCAACCTAGCAACTTTTTTTTTTTTGAGACAGTCTCACTTTGTCACCCTGGGTAGTGTGCAGTGGCGTCACACCTCACAGCAACCTCAAACTCTTGGGCTTAAGTGATTCTCTTGCCTCAGCCTCCCAAGTAGCTGAGACTACAGATGCTCACCACAATGCCCGGCTATCCCCCACTGCCGCTGTTGTTGTCATTGTTTTAGGAGGCCCAGGCCAGGTTCAGGTTCAAACCCACCAGCCCCAGTGCATGTGCGTGTGGCCAGCGCCCTAACCACTGAGCTACAGGCACCAAGCAAGGCCAGTATCTTTAACTGCCTGTTTTCATCCTGTTTGAGATAACAGATTCTACCCGGCAGCATTACAGTTGAGAAGATGACAATATTTTACTTCAAACAGCAGCCTCACACCTTTTTCAGTTTTCCTGTTTAGTATTAAAATTCAGGGCTTGGTGCCTGTGGCTCAAGTGGCTGAGGCGCCAGCCGCATACACCTAAGGTGGCAGGTTGAATCCAGCCCGGGCCCGCCAAACAACAATGATGGCTGCAACCAAAAAATAGCCGGGCTTTGTGGCAGGCGCCTGTGGTCCCAGCTACTTGGGAGGCCGAGGCAGGAGGCTCACTTGAGCTCAGGAGTTGGAGGTTGCTGTGAGCTGTGATGGCACAGCACTCTACCCAGGGGAATAGCTTGAGGCTCTGTCTCAAAAAATAAATAAATAAATAAAATTCAGTAGCTTCTTTATTCCTTATTATTGAACCTGATGGTATTTATCTCATTGGTTGCTTATTATTGTATCACTAGTTTAGAAGTAAATTTCATAAATAGTATCATTTACATCATCATCAAAACATTTATCAGAGAGAGACTTTAAATAAAACCTAGTGTAGCTGTACAGTAGAATATGTGTAGCTGTGGAAAAGAATGAGGGTATTGTGTAGAAATGTTTGGAAACATATTCAGGAGAAGTGAAAAAGCAAGGGGCAGAGCGGCATCTAAGTGTGCTACCTTTCTTTCTTTCTTTCTTTTTTTTTTTTTTTTGCATTTTTTGGCCAGGGCTGGGTTTGAACCCGCCACCTCCATCAGATGGGGCTGGCGCCCTACCCTTTCGAGCCACAGGCACTGCCCAAGTGTGCTACCTTTCTATGAGAGAGAGAAAGTGGAATGTTTGCCTATGCTGAAAGGACACTTAAGCTATTAATAGTGCTTACCTCCTGGGACAGAAAATGGTGATAATCATCCATTTGGGAGATCAGAACGGGAAAACATTTCACTACATATATATTTCAACCATCTTAATTGATGGCATGTATAATTTTGAACCATGTTAATGTATTAACTGTCTATAAAACTAATTTTATTATACATTTTTGAACTTAAATCCAGAGGCCATTATATATGAATATTCATACCGCACTATTCATAATAGCCAAAAAAGAGGACATTCAAATATCTATCAAATGGATAAATGAAAGTGATATAGCCATACAATAGAGTATTATTCAGCCATTAACATAGTGCTGCTAGCATGCTACGTGAATGAACCTTGAAAATATGCAAAGTGATGGAAGCCAGACAAAAAGTCACCTTATTTTATGATTCCATTTGTATGAAATGTCCAGAGTAGACAATCCATAGAGACTGAAAGTAGATTAGTGATTGCTCCAGGCTGGGAAAGGAGAAATGGGAAGTGACTTCCCATAGGTATTGGGTTTCTTTTGGGGTGATAAAAATGTTCTGAAATTAGATGTGATAGTTGCACAACTTTGTTGAATATACTCAGAACCAGATTTGTATGCTTTAAAGGGATGCATTTTATGGTATCTGAATTATATCTCTTTTTTTTTTTTTTTTTTTTTGAGACAGAGCCTCAAGCT